AAATTTATATGTAGCAGTTTAAAATTTTTGCTTAGAAAATAGGTTTTTTCTTAGAGATTGCATAACATCCCCTTGACAGATCGGCACCCTCATAGGCAAGGTGGTCTGCCAGAACTCACAGGCAGGGAGATGCCTGACAAGGAAGAGAACTTATAATATGAGTGCATGAAAAACCCCCGTCGAGTCCGAGCTTACTTCTTAGGACCGTTTAGAATTTTTATCTTATCTTAAAAATTCTATTTAATTAAAGTAAAAGAATTTTTTACAGACCCCTAAGAGCCTAAATTCGAATTCCAGGTCAAACCAAATGCGGCATGCAAGTAAAAAGACTAGAAAAGCAGGAGTTCTAATGCGCAATCAATTTAAATAAATCAATCAAATTAAATATATCAAATTGAATGTCCGTAGGCAAGTGCCCCTTATTATTACATCACAGAATTTTGCAGAAAATTAAAGTGGCCGGGCACCACTGACTACAACCCGGATTTCTAATCCTAAATTAAATGACTTTGAGATTTGGGATTCTTCTCGTTGTCCAATCCTTCATCTTCTCACGAACATCTTGATTCGTCGGTTCAGGATATCCAAATGGAAAGAAACTCCCCCTTGATCGGGGTGTTATCTTTCCTCTTTGGATATTTGCAAAGTATCCTAATTTGACTTCCAAATGGAAGAAGACTCTCCCCTTTAGGGATGTCTTCACCTCTTTGAAATTCAAATTGGATTAAATATCCAAATCTCAAATAATTTCAAATAAATTACAACCTTTACTGAATTTAATTTACATTAATTGAAATAAAAAAATCTAGATTCGATCCTGCAAGGTTATCCTAATAATCGATAGTTGTATATATAATCCCAAGAAGTTATGATATGAAAATTGAAATGCATATTTTTTAGCCACACTTGGCCATGCTCTTTTATTTAAAGGGGGTCTTAAGTGCAGCGAATACCTGTGCAAAGAGTATATTTTTTTTTTATTAATTGCCCCCTTTAATATCAGCTCCTGTACGAGCATGGCCACCTACATAAGATTACACAAGTATAATTCGCCCTAACGTAGGGGTAAATCTAACGCACAATCAATCACAGAGTGCAAGAAGTAAGTAAACAAATCAATTCTACACTAGCAAAATCAATTCTACACTAGCAAACAACATGCAGTGAAAACTTCGAAAGCCCGGCACACAGCGGAAAAGTAAACATCGGCCTATCCTAAAGTTAGAGTCAATGATCCTTGCAAACCATCTAAAGTGTGTGAGGTAGGTCGTGCGATTTTGATATGTCCTAAATGGGATATGATTGAAATTGCTTAAGGTTTGATTGCTGATTTTTAAGGATTTGATTAATTTAAGTTTGCCATTAATTGATTCGTGGCGTTGTGCCACCAGGCTCGAGGAATCAGCCTCCTTGTCAGTTAGAGGGCTTACACATAATTTTTGGGTTTAAAACAGATTTATTATATTTTTGGAAGTTTTAATGGCTTAATTAGGGTTTAATCTTAATTAAGTGAGTTAAGGGGTTTAATGAACTCAAAATTCATTAGGGATTTTCCTATGAACTAAGGGTGTCACTAAGTTAAAGTGTATTGAGTTTTGAGTTGAAAGGAAGTGTATCCTAATTTCTAAACTTAATCTAAGTTTTCTAATTAAATGTCCTTAATTTTTATCCTTAATGACGCTAGGTTCAGTCACACTTCCTTTCCTGGCTCCCCAATCCAGGCCGGGGTAGACCAGATTTGCATTGCACTAGCTAGGTTCGGGGCACTAACTTTTAGTGCCCAATTTAGACTTAGGATATGAGGCTGGATCGGGCCATAAGACCTCAACTTTCGGGAATTGAATCCCAAATTTTTAATAAAATTGACCACTCAAACTAAAAAATTTCTTTCAATCAAATACAAGCCTAACAATTAGGATAGACTGGGGTGTTTCTGAAGTAATTCAGAATCTCAAAATGCCTCCTACACTTCTTCCTTTGACTCCAAAAATAACTG